GGGGGGGGGGGGGGGGGGGGGGGGGGGGGGGGGGGGGCTGCTGAGGAGAAGGGGGTTGATGCAGGGCTGGTATAATCTGGGGAGGCTTCCTGGAGGCAGAGCTGGAGCGGTATCAGTATTCTAGACACAGGAAGACCATGACCTTAGGTGCAGGATGCAAGGCTTGGTTTGGGGTATGTCCCAGCCCACCCCAAAACAGCTGAGGCTGAGTTGCTAAAAACTTGCTAAGTTGGACCAGGACACCAGGCCTCTCAGAGCCTCCCAGACACCCTGAGGTCTTCAAGTGAGGGCTCAGGACTCCCCAGCCTTCTACTGTCATCTGGGGTAGAGCGACTGCTCCCTCCACATTGCCCCTCATCTTTCCCTACCTCTACAGCAGCTCTCAGCACCCTGCACTGCAGAGATTTCTCCATATGTGCCCCTCCCCTAAGCCTGCCCCATTCCCCAAGGCAGGGAGCCAGCAGGGAACACTGTCAACACCCAGTGTGCTCCCGGCTGAAGGAGGCACTTGGGGGATGTTAGGGATGGGGCAAATGACCCTTTAGAAGGGGAGCTACAGGCAGCTGGGAAAGGCCTGGCCTGGCACTTCGTGGGTGTGGGGAGGATGTATGGGGCCTGGGGGCTTGTCTGCCAGCTTCCCTGTCCAGGTCCTGTGGAAGAGGGGAGTGTGATAGGGCCATCAACCCAGCCTCAGTGGACCTGGTTGGCCCCAGAGCTGGCAGGCCCCAAGCTAGTGAGAGAGCAGGGGAGTCAGTTTCCCATCCATTAGGCCCATGGCCCAGGCTGCTAATGCCGAGCGGACATTCTGCTCTCATCCCTGGTATCCACTTAGGCGTCGTTAATATTTTACACTGCATAGCCAGGGGATCGATGTCTCATTTATAGCTCAGTGTTTATGAGCAGCCATTGAAGCTTTCACGGGGAAGATGCTCAGGTACACCAGGGGAAACTGAGGCAGGGGAGCAGGGGTGGGCCAGCCTCAGGAGGACCCTCCATGAACTTGCTTGCCCAGTTCTCTGTTTCACACCTGGCACCCTGTACACACCCAGCTCCGAGAACACATCATAAGGGGCCATCAGAGCCTGTGACACAGGCCAGCCCTTGTCTCACTTGATCCCCTACAAGCCCCTGGAGAGGTGGGATTATCATCCCCATTTTAGGAAACAGGCTTAGAGAGGTTAATGTACTTTCCACCAGACCATTGATTGAGGATTGGTGGCAACTAGCTGGGACACAGGCTAGATTTTGCTCAGCACGTAAGTGTGTAAATTAGAGTGCAGGAGGCTCTTGAGCCTTTCCAGACTTACACACTTTAGCAACTCATGTGCTCCAACAGCGCCGCGTTTCTCGGGCGATCATTAGCATCTCTGCTTGGAACTCTTGCCTCTTTGGTCAGTGAAAACTCACCGCATGCCCACATAAATGCAATTGAAAGCTGTGCGTTTACAGTTCTTTAAAAATGTCTGCAATAACAGACTTTTAACTAAGGTGTGTTAAATAGTGAGATTGAACTACATAGGCCAGAAGACACCCGGCAGCCTCTCACCTCCGTTTCCACTGGAACCGTGCGTTAGGCTGCGTCAGCATCTGCTAGAATCCGGGAGGCCTGCGCTCCACCTGTGCGTCTTCCCCAGTCCGTCCTCTAGCCCTCGGTTTCCTGAACTGTAAAATGGGGAAGAGAAACGCCCAGGGGGAGCCCTTAAGGATTACAAGTAAACCTAAAGGTTTGGCTCACGGACGCCAGCTCCAGAAGGACCCTCGGCCGGCCGTGCACGCTGGATTTCCCACCCCACCCGGGCGCCGAGCTCTGTGCCTGGGGAGCATCACCCGTTCAGTATTTGTCGAACGAATGACCGAGTGGGTGGCAGAGGTTCATAAATGGAAGCTACCATTTTTCAGACTCTAGGTCCAAACAGGCGTGGAGCGGGGCTGGATTTCCTAAAGCACCGGGCGAACTGAGGAACTTGGTGTTCACAGCAGCCCGCTCTTCCCGCGGTCTCAGCTGGGGGTTGGTGAGGACACCTGGGGAGTGCAGCGCCCGCCGGAGGGCAGCAGAGAGCCACGGCTTCCGCCCTCAGGTCCGGGAGTTCGGATACTTGGTGGATCCCGGGCTCCGCCCTGCCACGCCCCCACCTCTCCCCTTCCTTTCTCCTTCCTTTCCTACACATCGCCCCTGGGCAGGAAGAGAGCGATCCACAAACGAATTAGCACTCCCGTGCACTTGGCATCCGCTTAGCTCTTTCCCACATCCGGAAAGGCAGGCAGGCACCAGCCCCTCCGTGTGGAGGAGCCCGCAAGTCCGTGACTCGACCAAGGTCATGCAGCAAAACCAAGAGTGAAACTCAGTTCTGTAGTCTCTAATACCAAAGCCCACACTCCCTCCAAAAGTCTGGAGCGCACACGGGTTTCCAGAACTGGATAATTTTGGATACCAACTTTTCTATTTTCAACGGGCGGCAGACCAGGGCCAAGTGCAACCTCGAGCCGAGGGCTGATGGTGTGGGAAATACCCCAGGGAGAGAGGGCTTCCCCGATCCCCCGAAGGCCCGCTCTGCGCTGGCCCGCGGGGCGGTGAGCGGCGGAGGCCAGGCTCTGCACCCCTCCGCCAGGAGACTGGAGCTCCGACTCCCCGCACAGAGCGAAGCTGCGGCTCCCTTCCTCTCCGGCCTCCGGCCCCCCTCCCCAGCCACTCAGCCCCCACCTTGTACGGGCAGTTGGGTAAAACCACCGACCGCGCGGCCTCCGGGGGGGATGGCCGGGTGGCGATGGCTGTGCGCCAGGCTCGGTCAGGGGGCTGGGCTGTGAGGGGCGGGGCCACCTCCCTCCGCCCCTTCCCGGGCTCGCGCGGGAGGGGGGGGGCGCGCCGGGGACGCCTCCCCGGGTGGTCGCCTTGCCTAGGCCAATGAGCGCGCGGGGAGCGATGGAGGCTGGGGCGGCCGGGAGCACCCGGGACCCCCGCAGCCGCCGCGCCCCCGTGTCGCCGCGCCCCCGTGTCCCCGCGCCCGCGGGGCTGGAGAGGGGGCGAAAGAGGCGCGGCGCCCACGCCGGCCATGGAGGCGTCTCTGGCCCGCGCCGGCCGCCCGAGCTGCGCTCCGCGCCGTCGCCGCCGCGCCTCGAAGTTTGCCGGCTGACTCGGAAAGTTGCGCTTGGGCTCTGCCGCCGCACCGCGTCCAACCTCCCGGCCTGCCCAGTTCGCCGCCGCCGCCCTTCGCGGGGCCTCGGCCCCGTCGACACCCGCAGCCCCGCCTGCCGGGGGATGTGAGCCGCGGCCTCCCCCAGAGGCCGGGCGGGCTGCACTGGCCCCGGCGCCTCCCGAGGCACGCGCGGGCGAGGGGCACGCCCCGGCCCCAGGCAGCCCGGGTCGCCATGGGCATCCAGGGCATGGAGCTGTGCGCCATGGCCGTGGTGGTGCTGCTGTTCATCGCCGTCCTCAAGCAGTTCGGCATCCTGGAGCCCATGTCCATGGAAGGTAACGCGTGGCCATCCGCCCCTCCGCCGGGGCCAGCAGTGTGTAGGGAGGGAGCAGCAGTCGCGCTCCCGGGCGCGGGTCTGCGGGGCCCCGCGAGGTGAGGCCCTCGGGCACTTTGCGCTCAGAGGCTCTGGCCTCCAGAGCCGCCGCCCCCTCCCGACTCCTGAGGGCTGGGCCTGGAACCAAGGGGATGGAGAGGCCTGGGGCTCCAAGGAGCACCGGAGGGGATGGACTGCGGCGCTAGGGTGGGCGTGAGCGAGATGCCTGCTGACACCCTGAGCCATTCTAGGCCGGCAGGTCCGAGCCACCCCGGGTGAGCACAGCCGGCTTGGGCCGCCCGCCCGTTGGTGGGGAGGTGGCTCGGGGTGTAGATGACAGGAAGGATCCTCAGCCCAGGGTGCCTTATGATGGCGAATGATAGGAGACCTCAGCCACATTACGGGGGTTGCCCCTTCCGCCCCCTGCCCACATCCAGTTCCCCCTCCCTAGGCTCAGGCCCAGGGGCTCGGTAACCAAATCCTCGGCACCACATTTCTGTCCCAATAAAATATTAATTGAGGAGACAGACCTACTCTTAAATCAGACAGTGGGCAGTCACCCTGGGACCCCTGACCGGAGCCCTTCCAGCTGCTTCCCAACCTTTGGCACCTCCCTAAGACTTCTGGGCAGGTTAAGAGGAGAAGCCCCTTTAGGGCACACCCATTCTGAAGGGGACCTTGACCCCCCAGGGCTGTAACTTTCCCTTCCCCCCACCCCCAGATCCAAAGAGGCAGTTGCAGCCCAGTACCTCTGCACGGTGGGGCCAGCCTGTCCTGTTCTGTCACCTACACTCCCTTGCTGTCCTCTCAGAGGAGGACGGGCATTCTGCCTGTCTCAGCACTCTGCTGACCTTGCCAGGCTCCAGCTCCTGGGACTGAAACTCAGAGACCCAAGCAGGAGAGGGAGGAAGAACCTGTCCTTGCCTCTGAACCACCCGGCAGCCCCCCCCCCCCGCCCCAGCCTGAGGATGTGCCCCCAAACTCCTCTGAGGGCAGGACAGGGCACAAGGGCTTGAAGCAAGGCCCTTCCTCCATTTTGCCTTCAGAGCCCAGAGCCGGCTCTTTACCTGAAGTCCACGGCTATGTGCCCCGAAGAAGCCATCAGGCTCCATCACACCTTTTCTAGGTGAGTTCGTGGGACCCAAAGAGAAGGGATGTGATCAAGGTGGTTCTGAGAGGTGCCACCTTGAGCTTTAAATTTTACTTGGAGAGGAAAATTGCCCACGCTGGGCCTGCACTTGTCTGGATGGTGACCCTGGCTGGGGAATCTATGAATGGGAAATGCCTTTGCTTGGGGTGAGATGGGGGGATGAGCATCCCCTGAGGACCCGCGCCTCCCACAGGCCACTAGCCTATCCTGTATACCCTATCTTTTGCCCACCTGGAGTCTTCGGTGGGTGTGGATGGTGGTTGGTGCTCAGGGAAGCCATAGCCCCTACATGCATCTTCCCCATTTCCTGGAACGTCGTGGGGCCACCAGGGGCCAGGAGGACTAGTGGCCTCATTCTACTTGGTACTGCAAAACCTTCCTACCTGATCCCAACTCCCAGGTGTGGGCCTGTGAAATTTGCCTTGGTGACGTCTAAGGAAAAAGGGGTTTCTTTGCAAGGTGGATAGTATGCCCGAGACTACCGACGCTTTATTCAACCTGCTAAAAAAAAAAAACAAAAAAAACCCACTTCAGGCTCGAACAGAGTGCCTCCTTTCTGGTACAGTTAGCCACCTGTGCCCTTTGGAGTTGTGGTGTCTTGAGGCGGTGGGAGGAGCGGAGCCTCCGTGTCCGCCAAATCTGAGCTGGGATCCTGCCACCCACACGTGCTGGCGGTAAAGCTTCCTTACCCTTTCTGAGCCTCGGTTTCATCATCTGCGAAGTGGGCCGTGGCAGACTTGTAACTAATCAGTGGGGCTCTGAGGCCTCCAGCACCATTCTTGGCATGTAATAAATGTGCAAACTTTGTGAGCCGTTGGCATCACCAGTGATTAGCAATGGAGTGATTACTGGCACTAACAGGACTGATTCGTGGTTGAAGACATTCTCTCACTGAAACAGGCCTCCCTGCATCAGAGGGCGAGGGTTAGACGTTCCACATGTTCCGTGTTGATGGGGAGTGGTGTCTTTTAAGTGCCTGGAAGGCCCATTGGCCAGGCGGTGTCTAAGGGACTGTTAGATGGGGCTGCATGTCGTTGTGTGTGTGTCTCTTGTCCCCCCTGAGCTTCCGTAGTTCCCATCTGTGAGACACCAGAGTTACAATGCCCCTGGGATTGTTAGGAACTAATAGATCTGGGTTCCAGGGATGCAGCCTTCTAGAAGTAGCTGCCGAAGCTGAAAGGTCCTCTGTCTGTCCTGAGTCTCCTGTCAGTGTCTGTCTCTGGGTGACTCCGTGGGGGGAGTTCCAGCCTGGTCTGGCCACTAGCTTACTGGGTGACTTTGGCGCCTTTAACATTCTTGAGCCTTAATTTCCTCATCTGTAGAATTAGGATTAAAGCATGTTTTCCCCTACCCGCTTCCCAGGGGTGTAGTGAACTAAAGCACTTTGGAAAAGTTAAAAGCAGAATTCAAATCTAAGGGACTCCAAGTGTAGGACACCAGTAAAAAGTGACCCTGGGCTGGTAATCCTTGGTGCTTGTTTGCAAGCCTAACACCAGACCTTTTTGTCCACATCTGTGCCCCAAACTTGACTTTGGCTGCTGTGTCTCTTCTCGCAGTCCGGATTTCCTAAGTTCTAGACTCGTAGCTCTCAGCTGAAGGCAGTGTGGCACCTCAGTGGCCATCTGATGATGTCTGAAGACGTTTTTGATTGTCGCAATTGAGGAGAGAGTGCTACTGGCATCTAGTGGGTAGAGGCCAGGAGTGCTGCTGAACATCCTGCGACGAACAGGACGGGACCCACGAGAAAGAACGATCAGGCCCAAATGTCAGTAGTGAGGTTGAGAAGCCTTTCTCTGGAAAGAGCAGTAGGGGCTAGGTGGCCAGGGCCTAGAACAGCTGCTTTTCAGCCCTGACTTAGTCACTGACATGCTGTCATTAACTTGGAAAAGTCCCTCTTCCTTTGTGAGCTCTGTTTCCTCGTCTATAAGTGGGGCGTTGGATTAGAGGCACCATCTCCCCTGGGCACTTTCCCTGACCGCTCTGGCCCCCTGGCCCTTGGGGTTGTGTTAGGTGGCACTGTTCTGAAATTTTCTGTGTCCCCGTCCCCACCCCATATGGCCTTTCCAACGGTGTCAGTGACTTGCGTCTATACACTTATGGCCCCAAAGCCTGCCCAGCACTGCCTGGCAAACAGCAGGTGTTGAGTAAGTATAAATTATATGCCGTGATCACCACACATTTAGTGAGCACTCTTTGTATGCCAGGCAGTATGAGGCCACCAGGAGCACAGGTGATGCAGGGGCTTGGCCCTCTCTTTAGGACATCCCTGGGCAGGTGCCCTCTGACGGGAGACCCCTCTGGCTGGGGAGGGGACAGGGAGGCTGAATTGTGACATGGGAGTATAGGCGTGTGAAGAGACAGAAGTGTGAAGGGGAGAATCAGGGGCACCCAGATGGAGGTGTGCACGGCCTGACCCACTGCCCCGGCTCTTCCCTCTTTGAGGTGGCCTCGCAGCCCTGGCTGACAGAGGCGGCCTGGGAACTTGCCGGGTCCACAGCTGCCTCTTGGCTCTGAGCAGGCCCGAGGGGTGGCCATTACTCCTACTTTTCTCTTGCTCTGTATCTCCACCCAGCACCCTCTGTTGCCTTTGCCGGGGGCCAGCCGGCACTCTCCGTACCCCGGCTGGCGTCCTTCTTGGCAGGGTCTGCCACCCTTTGTAAATTGTCTGTTCCTCGGGACCCCTAGGCAGTTTCCAGGTCTGACGCTGACGACAACGACAGCAGCCCGCATCTAGTGAGTGCTATCTTTGGGCATCTCCTAAGTTTGTCCCCAACAGCAGGCCCACTCTGTAGATGAGGAAACTGAGGCTTGGGGAGGGTAAGTAACTTCACTGAAGTTATCCAGCCAAGGAGTGGCAGAGCCAGGACCTATACCAACTCTGGCACGCCTGTCCCGGATGCGTCTCTAACTCCGCAGGGCCAAGGAGCCACGGACACGTCCTTGCCTCTTACAGTGAGGGCGCCAGCAAGGCAGAGTGGAGGCAGCTGCCTGGGTCCAGATCCAAAGTGGGCAAAGCCTCCTTCATCGAGCTGCTGTAAAGACTAAATATGTGCCTGTGTGTAAACTCTCGTAAAGCAACGCCCAGCACAGAGTAAGCACTTTAAAAGTCCTACCTCTTGTTATTTCTTGCCAAAAACGTGCTAGCCCAAATTTCCCCCAGCGTCACACGTCACTAACGATGTACTAGAAGTTAGTGGGAGAGGAGAACGCACTTAACAGGCCCTTCATTGCGGTAGGCGCCCTTCCTTATGTGCTCTGTAGAGTCCTCGTCCTCCCCTCCGACGGGCCCAAGGCTCCTGGGCGGGGCTCTGGGAAAGGAAGAAGAGAGCCAGGCTCCTTGTGGGTGGCTTCTGTGGGATAGGAAGGCAGGACAGGAGCCTGAGTTCTGTTGTTGTTGCTGTAGGATGGGGGACTTGGGCAAAGCCCCCTCCCTCCCCAGGTCAGTGCCTCAACTGTTGCATATCTAGTGGCTTCAAAGCACCTTAGCCACAATCTCAGATGGAGTCTTACCTCGAAGCCCAGGACCCCCTGACAGACAGAAGGGGCGTTTTGCCCCACAGTGGTCCCCACAGGGGCCCCTCAGTGAGACCTCCAGGTCTAGGGGTCACCTGGTCAGCAGGGACCCGGCGAGGGCTGAGATCTGCCAGCTGGGTAAGAGGGATTGGTGCCAGACAGTGGGGTCCACACTGTGGACAGGAGCCAAGATGGGTGCTGGCTGAGCAAAGTAGGCGCAAGGGAAGGTTTTGCAGCTGCCTCCGGGGGACCCTTGCACAGCCGCAGGGGGCTTCCCCGGGCTCTCGTACTAGGTAGGCAACAAACGCCCCTCACCCGGTACCTGGTGTGCCTTCGCTCAGTGATTTAAAGATTTGGACCCACCTTTCACAAGCCCCTCTGTGCAGGTGGGTCCTGCACAGAGGGGGCCGTGCGGCGTGGGGTCAGCATCCTGAACTGGAACTTTTACTCCCCTGGGAGGCAAGCCCAGTTTGTGATTTGTCAGGCTGCCGTATAGAGTTGGAACATTCAGCTTTTAGAATAAAATTTTTAAAGCCTCGTGCCTTGGCTCGTTTGACAAAGATGTTTGTTTGATGGAGAGGTTAAATCTTTTGTCGCTGAGCCCCTGCTAATCAGTGCAGTCGATGGGGTGGGGGATGAGTAATGTCCAGGACAAGCCTCTGGAGCAGTGAGAGAAGGGCTGAGGCCAGGGAGAGGCGGGAGGGAGGCTATGGACGCAGGTCGACTTCAGTTTGGCTGAGCAAGGCTACTCAGTGTTTTGAGGGAAGCTGTACAAAATGGCTATTTAGATCCATTAATTGCCAGCACGCCCCGTAATTGCACACGGTGGACGTGATGCCTCTGGCGGCTCCTAAGAGATCTGGCTGCGTCTCGGCCGAAACAAGAAACAAACCAGAGGGATGGCCCCTTGGATTTCTCCCGTGGATACGCCAGGAGAGGGGTGTCCCCTGGTGTCCCCTGAGAGCATGTGGGGTGCCCAGGATGGGGCCGGATGCTGTGGGGGTCAAGAGGAAACCAGGTTCCCTGCTCCTGAGACAGTTCCAGACAGTTCCGTGGCCTTTCCTTGGAGCATATGTGTGTAGAGGGGGTGAAAGG